GCCCCGCCGCCCTGAGTCAGCGCCGCCGCCGCGCGGCCGGAAAAGCCGCTCCCGCGGGGGCGCCCCCTGCCGGCCCGGAGGGCTGCGGCCGCTCCCGGGGCCGCTCCCCAGGGATGTCCCGCTGGACACCCCCCGGCCCCATCCCACTGCCGGGGATGGCTTCAGGACGGATTATCTGTGCCCCAGGCTGAATCTTCGCACGTTTTGTAAACGTAACTGATGTCGTCAGGTAACTTCTGCGAAAGGAATTGGTGTCGTCGAGCTGAATTTTCTCACGTTTTGTGAACACAGCTAAAGTCAGATAACTGCTGAAGGAGAACCTGCTGAATAAAGAACTTCGCGTTTCAAGCATTGCGCGACATTACGTCACACGAATAAATACGCATTGTGTAGGCGGAGAATATTTATTAGGCGGGTAAAATGTAAATTTTATCGTATAAAAGATGTAATTCTTTTTTTAGCGCTTGGTGTGCTTGATTTGCGGGAACCTCCACCCTGCGCAGAATAAACAACTTCTCCAAACCAGACCCTGTGTGCTTAGAGAGCTCCCACACCCGGCAGCCCCGGGGGCTCCGCCTCGCTGGTGCGGACCTGCCCCCGGCCGGACTTTGCCCGCAGCCGGGACGGACCGGGCGCTCCGGGGCTCCCGGCACCGCTCACACACCGGGAACGGGGCTCTGGGCGCTGCCCGGCGAGGAGGAAACGCCCGTCCCGTCCCGTCCCGTCCCGCGGGGCAGCGGGCGGAGGGGCCGGGCCGGGGCGATGGGTGCGGGCGATGCGCTGTGCGGGCCCGGGGAGGGCCCCGCCGGGCCCCGGGTGAGTGACCGAGTGACCGCGGCCCCTCCGCCGGGGGACCCCTCCGGAGCCCGGCCCGGAGTGCGGCTCCCCGGGGGAGCCCCGGACCCCGCTGCGGGGGCTGTGAAGTGCGAGCGGTGAAGTGTGTTCCCGTGGGTGCGGGCTTTGCTTCCCAGGGACAAGGTTTCACCCAAACAGAACAGCCCGAGTTGTTCTCAGTTACAGTGAATTTGATGAGTTGCGTGTGCTGTGCTGTTGGAAGGATGTTGGAATGAGTCTTGTCTTTGGGAAGCTTCCGCTGAAGGACCCACTACAGAAATACCTTTAAAAAGCCTCTAATTTTATCAGTCTGGGCTCTCACAGATTTCCATCCCCAAGATTGATAAACTCCCATAATAATTTGTGAGCCATTATCTGTTTCCTCTTTTCATCACGGTGATTCCTTTCCTCAGCCTTGCTCTGCAAGCTGAAGGGAAAAATAACCTTACCCACTTATGTACAGTTGCCAGATGAGATCCAATATTTGTTCAGTCAAAAAGTCACAAAAGGTTTGTACAAACAGCTGAGGAAATGCAGTTTGTAAACTAGGACACTTTTTTTCCTCCTAATCTCCATTTCACTGGTCATTTCCTGTTGTTTATTATGATGGTTCCCAAATGCTGATCATCTGTTTAATTCCCAAATTACCTTTTCTCATTCCATTTTCATTAACTTACCTTTCTTTTCTTTTCTCTCTAGTTGTGATACACATCCTTTCTTCGGCATCTTTCCTTTTTGCAATCTTTCTTTTGTCCTGCCTTTCTACTTCAATTCCCTCCAAACTGCTATAGCTGAGTTCGTCTCTGTTGCCAAATGTTTTTTACATTTGAAACCCTAAATCAAATTCCACTAACACAGTAGATCTCAGCTGTAGCATTAGGAACCTGCATTAGCTGTGAAATTCTGTGTACATTTGCTTTACTGTTTCACTTCTGTGTTGTTTCTGTGACAGGACTGGAATCAGACATGGCATACAAACACCTCAGGATTTACCTGGTGCTTTGAGAGCTCAGTCATCACCTGGATCCCTTGTGCCTATCTTTGGATCTGTTTTCCTTTCTACTACCTGTATCTTCGGCACGGGAACAGGGGCTATATCAGGATGTCCCGCATCTTCAAAACCAAAATGGTCCTTGGATTCATTCTGGTGATACTGTGTTTTACTAATGTTTTCTTCATGCTGTGGGAGATAAGCCAAGGAATCCCACGGGCTCCAGAGTTCTTCATCAGCCCTGCTGTGATGGGAATCACAACGGTAATTCTTCCCTTGTCTGTCTGCACATGGCCAAGCTTAGCCCTCCTGGGACAGATCTTGTATTTCCCACGTTTCTCAGTATCTCTGAGCACAAATTTGGCTGATGGGGAATAGAAGGCCCACAAGCCATGGCTTTGGAGTTGAGGCAGACCACTGGAGCTACACCTACAATACAGGGCCCTGTAGGCAGAGCAGACCTTGCCTGTTGGCCCACTTGTAGTTTTATTACTTGCCCTTTCTCGAGAGACATTCTTGAGTGCAAAATTGCACATAATGCTGTTCAGTTTTAGCCTTTTAGGAACAATACTACAGCTACTACAGCTCTGAACATCTTCAAGTGTTTGGACAAGAAACTGATCTTTTTTCTGTGGTACTCATTAATTTGATAACAATGTTTGGCATTCCATTACCGGGTATTTATTTGGACAAATTTGTACTTCCTCACAGATCCTTGCCATGTTCCTTACCCAGGCAGAAAGAATGATGGGCATCCAGTCTTCAGGGGTCCTGTTGATTTATTGGCTGCTCTCGTTTGTGGCTGCAGTTGTGATGTTTAGTTTCAAAATTCAACATGCCCTGGAAAGAGTAAGTGAAATCACATATATTCAATGTGCAAGGGTATGAAGTCTCTAAACAGCAGGGCTGGTTTTGTCTCATTGTTGCAAGGGGGAGAACAAAATTCCTCTCTTAAAATATGTGCTGAGAAAAACGATTGCTGACACTATATATTTGTTCATTTGGATGTTTATTTGCAGCAGAGTGCTTGCTGGCACATCTGAGACTTATTGTTAGTGGCCATTTTCCTCAGATGAACAGGCTTCTTTTCAGTCACAACAAGGAATAAAAAAAAGTTTGTTACCTCTGTGTTTTAAGTAATAGGGGAAAAATATGCAGCCATGAAACAAAATACAGCTGGCAACTTGCTTGTTCCTGCTGTGTTGAAGGCACAAGGCTGCTTGTTGATATAACACTTGGCAACTTCTTGCTACCAATATACTGTTCCAAAAATATTTAGACTTTTCCATTGTTTTTTTTCTCTTTCTCATTCATGAAATGAATTAAAGAGCCCTTTATGGAGCCCCTTAGACACAACATTTATAGTAAAACTTAGCAAGTGCTTTATTATATCAACAACTCACCCCACTGGGTGAGCAAGGAGCTTCTATCCCTCAGAGCATTCAAAGTTCCCTGAAAAACGATGGAATGTGGACATCTGACTTGACTAGAGTACTATGAATCCTCACAATAAAACTGTCACTATGAATAATAAATGTGTCTTATTTAGCATTTTCTGAGCTTCCAGTTTCAGGCGTTATCTATTTAGCTCTACACAACTACAGCTTAAATAAATGCACCTCATGCTTCAAACCAAAACCCTGAGCTTATGGCTGGTAGAACATGAGAAGCCATCTTTCTTTGCTGATTTAACATGATGGTTCATTTCCTCATTCTCACCAGTATTCTGTTTCTTAGGCCTTCCTGGAAGACCATTTCCACCATGTTACAGCTTTCCTTTATGCCAGCCTGGTGCTAGGAGAACTTGTGTTATTCTGCTTAGTTGATGACTCTCCTTTCTTCTCCAAAGATGTCAACAATCCTGTAAGTATAACATAGCTTTTCCTAATGCACTGCTTCATTGCTGAAACAGGATTTTAAAATTTATGGGGATACACAGGAACACAAGTATCTGGGTGATGTCAGATGCATCATTCTGTATAAAGGCTGATGGTTTTAAAAGGTAACTGGCAGAATTTGGGATAACAGTACTCTATCTCTCTATGTATGGTTTTCAAAACTACAAACCTTTTATCCATACTCATGTTTCTTATCATTGAAACCAGCAGACAGGGCTCCTATTGCTTCCCCTGTTGCTGCTCTCCTGTGCAGCAGTACTTGATGGTATGGGTATGACAAATTTCTGTGCTTAAGAAAATAAACATCTCTGCGTATGAAGAATTATATTCTTTTTTCTTCTGTCTGAGAAGTTATTCAAAGTTAAATTCTCCGAAATCTCCCAATCCCATTGATCCTCCACAATACACTTACTCTGTCTGGGTCAGTGAATTGAGGGGTGGGGGTAACTCTTTGATTGCTTTTCCTGGGGGAGCACAGAAGGGAATTATATTCATCTGACACATGCACTTTTCTATATATAAATATCACACGTTTTCTCTCCCATCAGAATCACTGTCCAGAAGCCAGAAGCTCTTTTCTTTCCAAAATCACATACTGGTGGTTCTCTGGGTAAGAAAACACAGAAGATGTGGTTTTGCTAGAATATCAGAAAAAACCCAGCAGCATAAGAGATGGTGTAGATGGCAGCCAGCAGGAAATATATCAGCCCCTGAGTTAGCTTATGGAGTGGGGATTTAAATTCTTTCTCCAGGGGTTTGAGGTATTGTCACAAGGTCAAATTATAAAAATTTCACTTACTTTTCTCGAAGTAATTCAAAACATAAATTTGTGATTCTAGATAATTCTCTTCTACCTCCTAACTGCCCTTCCAGTGCCCTCCCAATCATGAAATAGATCTCAGCAGTCTCAAAAGATCACTGCACACCAACCTGTCTGCCTGCCAGACCTTCCTGTAACAAACGCTGGGCAAGGGAAAAACAGTGAAGAGGATATAGGCCCAGCCTGCTGCTGAGCATCCAGAAGTAAAACAATTACATTCCTTGGACCTAATGTCTGCTATGATAAGGTCTCATCTGGGTTCACTGAACCCAGAGTAAGTTAAACTAAACTTTGGTCCCACTGCCCAAGACTCTCATTATGGACTAGAAATTAGGGCTTACTTGAAAATCCTCATTATGTTGACAGAGGACAGCATAGGGATTTAAAGCAAAACTGCTGTTCTTGAACATTCATGTTTATTCTGGGACAGGACAGTCCCAAGCAGTGTTGTAGTGCAAGTCAGTCCCCACGTGCTCACTGTGGTACACTAACTTAACGTCCATCTGTTTGGAAAGTGTTACATGCACCACAAAACCTTCTGCATTCACCTGACTGCAGTCTGTGTGTTCTCCAGGCTTCTCTGGAAAGGCTCTCAGCAGTCCTTGGGGGTGGATGACTTGTGGCCAGTGAGGAAAGAGGACTCCTCTGAAGAAATTGTTGCCTGGGCAGAAAGAGAGTGGAAGAAGTGTCACAGCAGAAGCCAGCAGTGAGTACTTGATCTAGAGAGCACATCATGGGCTCAGCTGGGCAGGTCTAGGTGATCTAGCAAATACACTCACAAGTGTTGGTGTGTGAGTTCTTTTGTGCAAAATCTGATTTTAAGTGTTAAAAATTACTGGAGAACACCCTGCCATTCCTGGAAGCACAGAACTAATATTTTTTGTGAGAGGGGTCACTTTTTGATGAGCATTTATACTGAGCATGGTATGAGACCTGGTGTAAGATATTTAATGATTTTTTGGAAGCACAAGATTCCCAAGCTTTCTACAATTGTAGCTAGCTTTCTCATTGTTACTTTCTTCAGAGAAAGGGAGTCTGCTACATTTAAAAATGGTCAGAAGACTGAAGCTGGCATAGCAGAAGCTGAAGAGACAGAGGCTCTGCTGCAATCACAGCACAGTGAGAGCGGGCCCTTACTGAAAATGTTTTGGAGCATGTTTGGAACCTATTTCCTCCTCGGCACTGTCTGCTTAGTTATCTGTGACATCTTCATGTTCTCCATCCCAAAGTTACTGAGGTATGTGCATATTTATAATATGTACAAGATTGCTGTGTTCATGAGCTCAGAGGTGTGCATGCCAGCACTCACAGAGGTGGGCAGGCACACACTTGCCTTTTGAAATCTCTTGTAGCTGATTAAAAGAGCTGAATTGTCATTTGAGCTTAGCCCGCTGTCAACTCAGGAGAAGTCACCAAACCACTGACTAAAGCTGTGCACACTGTCTCCACTGCTGTATTCCAACAGTGGAAAGGACAGGATGCACTAAACCATGTGACAGCTTTACTAGAACAGGAGTTATTTGATGGTTCTATGTATCACATCATTTGCACAAGGCTGTCAGCCCCTTGCTGTAGTCTGAAGGCTCTGTGTTCCCTGACTAATTACAAAGAGCACAACTTTGCATCCTACACGTCTTAAGAAGCTTTGTTGGTCAGTTGGCATAATGCTTTGTGGATTGTATTGGTACAATATAAACCTTCACTACAGTATTTTCAAGTGCAAAATCCCTTCTTAATCATTAAAACTAAGAGAAGTTCTGGAAATGTCAATGACTTCCTTAGATTACAGTTACCACTTTGCATATTTCTGACAAATTCATAAAATGCAGGAGCCATCCATAACACTGAAAGTGAGGTCTCCCCTGAGAAGATGCTGAGATCAGAGATTGTTTCAAAACCAAGAGTGGCTAAATGTCAAAAATCAGGATATTATATGATCTAGGTTACTCAGCAGTTTTTTTCTCCAGTTCTTCTGCTATTTTACTGATAAACCTCTCAGACAGAATACAGAAAAATCACTGCTATTTCTGCCAGTTTGTTTTTGTGTCTGTCCTACGTGGATTCAGCGACATTTTGCCCCTGTCTTGCAGCCTTTTCCTGAAGTTCATTGAAGATCCAGAAGCCCCCAGCTGGCTTGGCTATTTCTATGCCTTCACTATGTTCCTTTTGGCTTGTCTCCAGACTCTGTTTGAGCAACGCTACATGTACATGTGTCTTGTTCTGGGGTTGAGACTGAAAACTGCAGTAACAGGGCTTGTGTACAGGAAAGTGAGTCTGTAGCTTCCTTTTTAGTTTCCTTATTTTTCCCTAGCCCTACATTAGTAGTTACACCATTGTTGGTACAATGTTTCTAGCAATATCAGGATGTCACTCTGTGCTATATTCATCTCTGAACAGTGTATGGGAGGTACTTTATAATTTACTTTTCAGATCTTACCTCTGAAGAAAAAGCCAAGAAAAGGAAAGAACAAAATTCAACATAAAGTTTCTTATGCTGTAGATGATGGTTAGGGAAAAGAGTAAATGCTTCATCCTAAAGTGAAGTCACATGCAGCAGCATGGCTTCAATACCTAGGATTTGACATCTTCCTCCCTCTTTATGTTTTCTTTCTTTATGCGGAAAAGAAAGTTGTTTGACTTCTGGGCCAAAGCTGTTGTTTGATGATGTTTTTTCTTTTCTCTCTACCCTATCTAGATCCTACTTATGTCAAATGCCTCAAGGAAAGCAGCAACCATAGGTGAAATTGTTAATCTGGTATCTGTTGATGTCCAAAAGCTAATGGATCTGATTATTTATTTTAATGGGACCTGGCTTGCTCCTATTAGGATTATCATCTGCTTTGTCTTCTTGTGGCAGGTAAAATATGACAGTACTTATCAATCCCTTTCTATTCTACATATCCAAGAAAAAAGGGGGTTTCAAAATTCTACTCAGAGCTTTCCTGGTTGGAATAACCTGAAGTTGTCATATTTTTCTTAGCTCTGTAGCATGGTGCATTCACTTTTCTTTCTGGAAGGTGCTTTTATTGATATAGAATCCTTACCCAATCCTTCACTTAACCTTCTAACTCGTGTATTCAGCTTGTTTTAAGGAAAAGACTGTATGGTTATTCTGAGTAGACTGATAAACTTCTGCCCCAAATTTTCCTCTGTCACTTTACTTTTCAGCCAAAAGATGGTGTCCCAGTGCAGGCTGAAAGTCCAGTTACAGCTCCATGGCATAGTCCAGAACATAAGGGGGAATGGTCTGAAACAGCAACTTGACACACTTCATCCCGAAGCCTGATTACCACAGCGAAGCAAAGTTACATGACTTCAGTTACATTCAAAAAGAGTATTGGATACACTGAATTTCATAGGTATCAAAGAGTTTAGCAAGGGGAGAGCAAAACCTGAATTAGGAATAAGGGATGATAATCTAAAAGATCCACTTTTAATCAGTGTAATGATATTTTCTCAGCAGTATAAAGCCCTATTTCTTAGTCCCTGTTTTTGGCCATACACCAAATGGAATTACGAGCACTATGCACACAGTTGATTCACAGGAGCTTTCCATGGCCTTTAAGATCTTCCTTTGCTGTCCAGGATGGACTGTGCCTCGTGCCTAGCAGGATACTATGACCTTGGAAAACTAGTAGCCATGGTGAAGACTGTTGAAAAGTCATCATCCCTTTCCTAGTGATGTTGAGAAGGTGGATGTGGTCTCATGTAGATGGAGCATAATTAACACTGTTGTTTGCTACTGTTCATAGATATTTGTGTACAGTACTTTTACCTCTCTGTGTAGACCACCACTTACCTCTCCAGCCCTGTGCAGAGATGGATCTAACCCCTGAGAAACAGGCTCTCTGTTTTGATACACAAGTCTTTATGAACACTGGTATCCAAGAGTTGTATCTCGAGTATGTGGCACGGGATAATGCCACCATTTCATCTCACCCGTTGATGTAAATTCAGACAAGAAGGGTTATTTTTGCTGCAAGAACAGTTTGTTGAGGGTTTGGGTTTGTTTTTTAAGCAAAACCTGGTATTGTTTCAGATCACTTACTTAAGCCAGCCACAAGATGTCCTCCTTAACGCATCCAAGGACACGGGAAGAAAGAGGAATGGCTGGAATTGCCAGTGTGCTGCTGGATCACCTTCAGCACTAATCTAGTTCCTAACAAGGAAGCAAATAAATTCAGCAGAGCCTGATGACAGGAGTTCCCCTGCCTGGATGGTTAACAATCCACAGCGCTTAGGGAAGCACAATTCCCAGGAAAGGCAAAGGCAAGATTAGAGCAAAGCCTTAACCATGAGGGATGTTATGCATAAGTTCAAGTAAGAGGGAAGGTAAGCAAGGGGAACAGAAAAGAGTAATTTCTAGTCATCACAAGAAATTCTTTCTCTTTCCTTTTCTCACCTGGCAGCTTCTAGGGCCATCTGCCTTGACTGCAATTGCTGTATTCCTTTTTCTTCTGCCTCTGAATTTTGTGATCACCAAGAAGAGGAGTCAGTTTCAGGTATATTTTGCTTCATAAAAAGAGAAATTGTTTATTGACATATGTGATGGCTTAATATTTATTAGTCATGCTTTCCATGATTGTCTAAAGGAGCATAGGAGGATTTGAAGCCCGCAAAGCTTCTCAGAATTTAGACTAAGCTCTTGCATGTTCAATCTTTTACCATGTTTGCCCACCTTTTCTGTGTTTTTATGTACTGCCAGTAAAAATAAAGCTTTGAAGATGAAAAGCAGAATATTTTCCAGCCTGGAAGATTCATAAGCAAAACAGTACACACAGCTCAACTGCAGGGAAATTTATTCAGGACTTAGATGCAGAAATAAGGTATATTTTCAGAATAATTGCACCATTAAACTATCAACCTATTAAATGATATAACATGAACATTTATTACAGGAGACCCAGATGAAACATAAAGATGAGCGGGCCAAACTCACCAATGCCATTCTCAGTGACATAAAAGTAATCAAACTGTATGGCTGGGAGAACACTTTCATGGAGAAAGTGCTTGGGATCCGGAAGCAAGAACTTCAGGCCCTAAAAAGATCTCAGATTCTCTTCTCAGCATCCCTAGTTTCTTTCCATTCATCAACTTTCCTGGTGAGTGGATCACCTTCCTGCATAAAACATGTGCTATTACTTCCATTTCTCTTTGTACTCCTCTCTGGACAGATTTTCCTGTGGGAAAAGCTTCTCCTGTGGGATAAACTAAAGATTATATCTGCCTGGAGGCATTGGTGGTCTCACAGGAGTTGCTGAGCCCCAGTGGAATCAGCCATGCAGACAATTTACACTGTCCTAACAGTTCCATGGACAGGTCATCTGGTCTGCCACTGTACTCCAGGCAGCCCGAGCCTGCTTTGCAGGATCCACTGGGAGACCTCCAAGCCAAACAGAGTTCATGGCACAGTCAGTAGCTGCACAAGCCACATTTGCACTTGCTGTTGCAGCTCAGCCATGTGTGTTTTCGGTGGGAACCTGCTGTGCTTTCACCTTGCTGAGGCTGCAGCACCAAAACTTCCTTAATGCAGAACAAATGTCAAATGATCAACTTGATACTGTCACCACTATGCAAGACCTTTGGCCATGATCCCTGTAGAATGGGTACTGTGCACAGAGGTGGTAGCCTGGATTTAACTAAACGGGTTCCAGAGTCTTTAAGAAGGGGCCTGGCACCCCTGAACTGTTCTCTTCCCTGTCTGAAGCAAATGGTTTGCTTTCCCTTTGCTCCCTTTCAGATTGCATTTGTCATGTTTGCTGTCTACACCCTGGTGGATAACACACACATCCTGGATGCTCAGAAGGCCTTTGTGTCTTTAACACTGATCAACATCCTCAACACTGCACACTCATTCCTGCCCTTCTCCATAAACGCTGCTGTCCAGGTTAATTGCAGGCTGTGTTCCTTTTCCTTTGGCCATAAGGGTTTTTTTTACATATCACCATTAACAGGTAAATACAGAGATTCATTAGGGCTTTGCACATCAGCCATTTAACTGCAATTGCGAAACAGTGAAAAGCAAGCACTTGCAAGTAAACTCTGTTGTATCGTTTTTCAGAAAGACTCCTTTTACTGACAAAATAGTCAACAAGAATTACTCATAAGTCTTTTGGAGCTCATCACAAGCACCAATAGACCCCAGAGGTGCTTCCAGTTCTGTTTTAATCACACAAATCAAAATAGATGGAGTAAAATCTCCATAGGGGATCAGTGGAAACCCTGCTAGCCCAGGCCAGAGAGAAAAGCAAATCATTGCCCAGTAAGATATAAGGAAATTCATTTCCCTCTTTACATTTTAAGGCTGTCACAGCTTTTCATGTACAGAAGCAATCACTGGGAAATTGCAGGATGAATAGGAGAAAAAAGCACCCATTTCACTGAACCAAAAGCACCATGAAGGATATGGGCTTTTTTTGCTAAGCTAAGTGGAAATAAAAGCAGTTAAGATAAGGAAGAGCTGCATTTGGCCATCTAAGCCTACAGCACCTGCAACACAGCAGATGATCTAAGTGTTCTTCACATTGAGTCTTTGGGTTTTTGCTCCCTTTCTTCTCTAAATCCTATTTTCTTTTGTGTGCTGCTTCATTTCAGGCCAAAGTTTCTTTAAACCGCTTGGCAGCTTTTCTGAATCTAGGACAACTGAATCCTGAGAGCTCATGCAGAAGCACTTCTGGCTGTGGTGAGCTTTTATGTTAGCACTGTTACCTTAAAAGAGGAGTAACTTCTATTGTTCAGCTTCTATTCAGGATGCTTGCCATAGTCAACAGAAAAATATTTGCCCCTTACTGTCACTTTATCTCTCAGGCCTATTTATTTCTACCAATAAAATCTAATCTGGTAATTTATGTCTTTTTTCATACTTATGGTTCATTTTATGTAATATACACACTGAAACATAAAATCATATAAATAGGGATGTTTCTGTAGCATCTTTTGCATTTACAGGTATTGTATTTTTCTTCATATTTTAGAACAGGCAAGTATCACCATAAGAAATGGGACTTTTTGCTGGAGCAAAGAAACTTCTCCTTGTCTTAGAAGGTACAGACTTACTCTTAGTCATCTCTCAACTCTGTAGGGCCAGTGTGGAATGTCCAGAGGCTTCTGAGTTCACTTCATATTTAATGTTGAATTCTGAAAATTACAAAGTCAGACAAAACATAATCTTGTTTTTCTGTTTGGGAGCATATAAATGGAAAGGTGCCTATATCTGAATGTTGCCTTAATCTATGGAGGCTGTTTTCTTTATACAATTTTCTTGTTCAAATATGAAATTACAGTAATTTAAGTCAAAAAAGTAGAACAGATGGTATGCAGGTATTATATATGGCATCACTAGATGCTTATTTCAAAAGGCATTGACATTTTTGAGAAGAAACCATGTTGAACAGCACTGATATGTTTTATATCCAATGCTTTGGGCTAGCTTATCTCCAGAGTGGGGATCTGGGTCTTGGATCTGGGTTTGAAACTCAGAGGGGGATGTGGATCAGACTTCCTGATTGGAGGTGTCTTTGAAGGGATGAAATTAGGGTGGCTTACTTGGGTACATTTTTATTGCTACAAGACAGTAGTAAGAATTTTGATAATTTCCTCTTCAGAAAGTGTACCTAAAACGTGGTAAGAAACTAATCTTTTCCCCATAGCATAGATCTTACCGTGCCCCAAGGCTCTTTGCTTGCTGTAGTTGGCCAGGTGGGTGCTGGGAAGTCCTCCTTGCTGTCAGCATTACTTGGTGAGCTGGAGAAACTGGATGGCTCCGTGACCATGAAGGTAAATTTTTCCCTGAGCATTTGCTTCTAATTAGGCTGTTTTCAGGAAGGTATTAATCAAGGCATCAGGTACTTGATGACAATGCATTTACTGCTGAATTTTAACAAAGGCTGTATGTATCAGTCCACATTTAATTATCTGAAGGTGCTGAAGACTTTGGAAATAGGAGCTGAAACATTGCTTCAAAGATCCAGTTCTATTTCCCACTCTGACAGTAAGCTGAAATGTCATCCTGGTAAATCTCATCATGTACTTGCACCTCTGTGTCCTCCTTTGTCAGATAACAACAGTGCAGACTCATATTTTGCAAAGCCCTCTGAGACCTATCAATGGTGATGATCATTCCAGACTTCTATAACTCAGAGAGCTTTTCTGCAAAGATGGGTTCCCACAGTGTCAAGTTGAGCTTATGTTAAAGATTACTAACATTGTTCCACTTCTATAGGACACTGCAGCTTATGTCCCCCAGCAAGCTTGGGTACTAAATGCTACAGTGGAAGATAATATTCTTTTCGGAAAAGAGATGGATGAAACATGGTTCAGTAGAGTCATAGATGCTTGTGCGCTGCACCCTGATTTGGAGAGCTTCCCTGCAAGGCAGAAGAGTGAAATAGGAGAAAAGGTACTTACACTTAGGTTTATATTTTGGTCAACTTTTCTTTGAGTAGCTACAACTTCAGGTGTCCTGCTTAAAACACCTACAAAGAAATGAAACTTGCAGGAGGCAGGTGCTCAGTGATTTCTAGAAAGTCGGGCCATGATCTGATTTAATTTAAGCCCACCTCCTGACACTTAACCTCAACAAACATATGAGAGTTGTTAAAGACAAAATCAACAAATCTAGGCCATTCTGGGGTGCTCTTTTACAGGAGAGTGGAGTTGCTCAGGAGACTCTGCCTCTGCAAGAGCCCTGTTTGGAGGGAGGGAGATGCACTAGTTTAAAAATAAGGGAGTCATAAAACCTCAGCACAAAATGGAGTCAACAGCTGACAAATATGCTGTAGCTGTGGAATAAACAGAGCCAATACATTTTTACAGGGAATAAATCTGTCTGGAGGGCAGAAGCAAAGAGTGAACCTTGCTCGTGCTGTGTACCAGAAGGCTTCGATCTACCTGCTCGATGACCCCCTCTCAGCTGTTGATGCCCACGTTGGACAGCACATTTTCGAACACGTTCTTGGACCCAATGGTTTACTGAAGGACAAGGTTTGTGTTACAAATCCTGAACTCTAAACAGTTGCACAATGAATCTCATTAGCAGAACCCCTGAAATGTTTCCAGTAAGGTGGGTTACTCACTTTATCAAAGGCTCCCAGACTCTTTTTTGTAGTGGCAGCAGTGGAATGGGTGACCTCTGCAGGCCACACAGCACCTGCAAGTCCTGCAGGGAACCTCACTGAGGAAGACTGTCTTTATCCTCATGCAAACCACATGCTTAGTTCCAGCCTTACTTCTACAGCAAGTTTACTGTTCTTTGGTCTTCTGTCAACATTATCCTTCTCTCTTTTCAAGAACTGCTTCTAGCATAGTTAGGAAGAGCTGTCTGATCTTTTCTAGCAAATTGTATCATCATAACATCTAATCCCATCGCTTTTGAATAGTTTAGTAGCACCTTTACAGTTCTTATCACTTAAGCTTCAGTCTTAAAATCCACCTTAAACACTTCTCTTCCATTCCTTTTGCAGTGGTGGTGTTTTGTTATTCCTTGATACTTCTCTGCTGTCGATTAATCTGGATAATAGATGCAGATAGATGAGAAGGGATGCTAGAGCAGCTCTATTTAATTCATGGGATAAATTGCCTAGAAATACTTGATTCAGTTTCACATTATAGAAGGAACACAGGTAATCTCTTGCATTAGAAAGTCCAGTTATAACAGACATGCCTGACTATAAATACCTTTGTCTCCACGAGGATTGGTTGCAAGTATCAGAATATAATTATTGTATTGAAACAGAATGACTGGCTAAGAAGAATGTATCAAACTTAAGGAGTACTCAAGGGGCTTGATTTTATATTAAAAATATAGAACATGGCAACTTATGTAAGGGGAAATTACTTTTATTATGTCCTCTCCTACAGCAAATACACTCAGAAATGTAAATGGAAAGGAGCTGCACTTTCATTCCATGCAGGCTGATCAATTTTTCGGCCATGAATTTGATTCTGAAATACTGATATCATTGGCAATAAATGTGGCATACTCTGCAATTAACATCTTCCTACTTAAGACCTTCAACCAGAGGGGAATCAATAACATGGAACTGGTCAGTGAGTCAAGTAAAAGGTCCTCCAGCACACAGGGTGCCAGCCTGGGACTTCAGACTTCAGTTCCCATCCTCACTCTTAATGCTGTGCATGACACAAAGCGAGTTGATTCACCCCTCCACTTCCAAATTCTGCATAAAGCTGTGCTGCAAAGACAGACTTCCTCAAAGAGACAGAAGTGACAGGAATAAATAACAAAAATATCTCCATGTTAGTAAAAATCATAGCTTGCACTGAGTACGTGTGTGTCTTCAGAAGCCAGCTGAGTTAGCAGGGAAACAGCAGAAAATATGTAACTGTTCCCTCTTGATTCAAGCAGACTCGTGTGCTGGTGACTCACACAGTCAACATTTTGCCTCAAGTGGACAACATTGTTTTTCTGGTGGATGGAATGATCTCAGAAACTGGTTCCTACCAAGAACTTCTACAGAGAAATGGGGCCTTTGCAGAATTTCTTCATTCACATGTTACTGCAGAAGAGAAGGCGTGTGCTGGTTTTCCAGGTAACCCAAATGAGTTGGAATCATTCTTCATAGGTCTATCAGTCAATTGTTTCCTTAATATCACATTTGTTTTATTATGGAAATATGCCTGTCAAATTAGCTGACTCATCACCTCAGAACTGGTCTTTGAATCCATCTGAGTAGACAACACTCATGTAGTAAACAGAATTACCCATTATATGTGCTATTTTTCAAGTCTAACCTTGATATTTCTACCCTTTGAAATCTTTCCTCCATATTACCAAGCTTTCAAGGACTATGCAGGACAAAATGGGATTCTAAAGCATTTAGAAAAAAATGTATTTATTTCACAGCTATAGGAGACACCACAGGCACCATCACATCTAGAAATGGTCCATCTCAGGAGAAACTCTCTAGGTAAGCTTAAAGCAGTCTCAGACACTGAAGAACTTATTCCAAAAGCCCATACAAGCCTACGTGGGGGCTCTTACTGAGTATAATAAAGGTTTGGGGTTGATCTGTAAATTAATAACAAGAGCAAACAAGCAAAACTCAAAAACTGGTAAGAACCTGGTCTTCAGTGTGGAGGTCAACTAACACTTTCTCCATATTTCACAAGGACCAGAACAGAGCTCACATACAAGGCACGTTGATACACTTGCTTGCTGTTCAGTTCCCAGTGGGGCTGTAAGGTCAGGCTCACTCCAAACCAGCCACAGCAAGTGAATGCTTTAAGCCTTTGCTTGTTAATGGCTTGACAGAGCCCAGGCCCTGTGACAAACATGGACAATGATTGGGTCACTCTGGAGGACCCCAAAAACTGCAGCCCTCAAAATAGGCATGAATATAGGGGTGGATGGGTAAGGAGATCCAGCTTGGCTAAAAATTGAAAGGATTTTTGTTTTCTTAAAGAATTGGCAATTCAGTCAAATCATCTGCTGTGAGAAGGGAGACCATTCCTGTAAGTCAAGACTGCACCAGTGCTGCAGCCACCAAAGGAAGATTAACTAAGGGAGAGAAAACTCAGCACGGCAGGGTAAGCACAGCACCTTCCTGTAATGGCAAGGACACATCCTGTGGGGTTATCACACTCATGGCAGGCTGGTCAGCTCCTTGCCTAAGCTAAGAAACACCTCAAAAGGCTGAGGCAAGGAGGGTACAGTGAAAGGAAAGAAGCAGACATGGTATTCCAGTTAGGAAGAGTCAGACATGGATGAGGGGTGTGTTCAGGGCACATTGTGGCAGTAGTAGAATGTGGAGAGAAAAAAAATAGCTGAGGCTAGTGGTACTGAGAGAAGACAGACACTCCAAAAGAGGCAGCTTTTCCTCTAGGGAAGCACAGCATTAGCCAGACTGGGATGTCCTCACCTCTCCTGATCAGCAGTTACTCATACAAGCAGTCAGTGTGATACATGACAGTTCTCCCTCACTCAGAGAACACACTGCCCAACATAAAAGCCCACTTTGTGCACTCCAGAAGTAGCACAAGCCTCTTGCAATAACATCCATCACTTGAAAATAATCATTAACACCACGGATTTATTTAAGTATGGCTTCACTATTCATCCATGAGGAAAACAAAAAAAGGATTAACATGGTTGCTATGGCTGTGACATATAACCGAGTAGATAGGCCATAATAAATCACTCCTTATTTCAGAGCTGCTTTTTCTTGCTAACAAGCTTGATTCTCCCAACCTCTCCTCCTGTCTTTCCCCAATTGTACCTCACTCTAGGTCAATACTGGGGTTTATGCAGCCTACCTGAAGGCGACAGGCTCAGCCCTGTGTGTGTTCATCCTCCTGTCCTTCACCTGCCAGCAAGCTGTGTCATTCTCTCGGGGTTACTGGCTCAGCACGTGGGCAGATGACCCTGTTCACAACGGGACACGACAGCACACAGAGCTGAGAGTTGGAGTCTTTGGTGCATTAGGAGTAGTTCAAGGTCTGTTTAAGTTACTCATCTAATTCTTCTCTGTATTCCCATCTCCCTTCCCCATATCCAGCATGTTTTCTCGGAATATAAACAAGTGCATACCCACGGGTTTTCAGCCTTCTGGGCTTTTGGCACCAACCCTAAAGGTTTGGCACGGGACCTAAAATTACAGGTTCTGACACACAGAGAGGATTTCTAAGGGATCTGAACAATACTTTCAGTGTTACTGCCTTACTTCTGGAGTTCTACATTTCTTTATATCTTTCTCCTTAAAAAATGGCCACAATTCCTTTGGTCATTCTCTTTAAAAATAAAAAATGTCACTGAGAAATTT